AGTGTATTAGTAAATTAGTTGTGTGTGTGTGTGTGTGTGTGTGTGTGTGTGTACTGAAATATGTTTCAAGTTTAGTATTACTGCGTTCAGCAGAGAAAGCAGTTCTGTAATTTTTATGGGAATCTTTAATTGCTCTTAGTTTGTCATGAATATAAATGTATAAATTAATATCGAAGAATTTTTATAACAGTTGCTCTTCCTGCTGAACGCAGCCATTCATAATACTATCAGCACAGTTGCGAATAATGAAATTCATTAAATCAGAAATTGGACAAGCAACGACTATCCGTCTACAGTCGACAAATTTTCAAATTTGATTATCTCGGAAGTAAAGCAGGGTGCAACAAAATTTTATTGTACATTTCCGATTTTTGTATGCTAAGCAATCAACTTCTGGAGTACCATCCACCCTAAAAATAAAATACACATTTTACGCGATTGTGATTCCGCGATTGTGTTAGTTAGATCCTGACCCGCGACCGGTCCATGCGACAGGATGCGACGCGAGAAAGTGCGTGTTAATTCCGGCTTGAATTATTCGATTGATGGAAGCATGCTTTCAAAACGCGTGCCATTTCATCGAGTTAATCGCCGTCGTCAACCGCTTCGGTGGACCCTGCCGTTATAAAAAATGATGGCGTACGTTCGACGTCGATTGCAGACTCGCAATTCGGAATCGCTCGCTCGCAGCGTATCGGCATTATTAAATACACTCCTCGTGGCTTTTTGCTTCCAATCGTGTTAATCGTCGAGTTAATCGCCCCATTGAACCCTGCCATTATTAAAAAAATAATGGCCGTACTTTCGATCCTGGATTCGCATTCGGAATCCTTCGGGGTGATTTGCTACGACGGATCAAATACGATTCCCGTATCGCGATCTTCCGCTTTCAATCGTGATTGTTTCTTAATTCGGATTATTTGCTTATCGAGAAGACCAGAAGTTTTGGCGTTTTGGCGTTTTGGCGTTTCGGCGCTTCGACGATACACCCGACGACGTTCAAGTCTGGCAGAGTTATTAGAGCGTGCGACGATCATATCCCGCCAGATGATATATCGTGGAGAAGAATTGAATCACACATAAGAGAGACGACGGTTTAACCCACATCGAGGCCGTCGCTTGTTTATCTCATTCCGGCAGAACATATGGCTTCTTCGCGGAGAGAAACGATACTTAAGCCGCGCGGTCGTCGACCGGCGCGAGGCAAAAATCTAGATACGGTGTCCGAGCATGATTTCACGTAATGCTCGATTACGTTTGATTACGCGCACGTGCGGTGATGCGGCGTGAATAAATGTAAAATACAGAGCAAAGAAGTAAGCCCATTACGTGCCGATAATTGCGAAACTGTAACGGCAAATATAGAGAAGCTCCGGGCTGAAAATTCTCGCGTATACAGCGGCGCGTTTTACAGCCACTTATCTATGCGAAAGCACGAGCAGCCAGCGTACTCAGCCAAACAATAACTGGCAACGTATCTTAAGGGACGAGGGTGTATCGCCTCGCGTGACGTTTCTCTCCTTCTCGCTTCGCGCCCCCCTCTTAT